GTGGCGGGACGACTACCGCCCTTTAATTATCGCGAAAATTGACCATAAACCGCATGACAATGTTCACTGTTTTATTATATACAGTCACGTAGCTATTGTCCAATGGCACAATACAATAGCGGAGTATAGCGGATGACGTTTTAACAAAAATAGTATTTATTCATTTTCAGCCCCCAAGTGACTGTGCAGCATATCACCAAAACACGCCGCAGTGCGCTATAACACAGTAGCAAAGCGCGCTAATACATACCGCAGTGCGCCATTTAGCCCTACGTATAGTGCTCTGTTGATCGGGGTGATCATCTGTCCATAATATTAGGGCTATGCGCCATTGAACATGATACTGTAAAATGACTAATTTTCACTGGGTTTAAATTTCACTGATTTACCATTTCAGGCATATTCAGTGGGTTTTAAATTCACGGTTTTATCATTTAGATAATGTGTTCTATGCTAAATTTTACATATTCACTGTGTTTTAATTTAGCGCATTTTTCCAGTCAGCGAAATAAGCTAAATTAAAACCCAGTGAATAATTACCCCCTTTACAGTAGTTCATTCGTCACTGCACATCACCACACGCGACACCGCATACCGTATTCACATTTTGACCACCGCCACTTATCGCGCTGACCGCCAGTACACATCATATGCTGCATATCTAATACTCACTATATTGTCCAGTAACCAGTTTCCATCTGCCTACAATAATCGATGCTGCCCGAGTTATATCAAAATAATCATTCGTGATCCACGGGTCTTTGCCAATATCTTCAAGAGCCCCACGTCTACCGCTGATCTGTATAAGTAATTCTTGTCGTTTTGTGGGAGCCCCGGTGCTGTAATATAACCGCGTTATTTTTAGTATAAAATGCGTTATAGGGTTAAAATAACGCCATTTTCAGGACGAAAAGTCAGTTTTGGGTGAAATTGGTACCATATCCAGAATGTGGTCAGAATAAGCGTATTGTTTGTTTTTTTAGATTTTTGCAATCGGACCAATGTTCAAGGATTTTTGTCTTTGGTGAGGCTCGTATTTAGCAAATTTTCAGGGCGAACTGAAGTAACACATTTGGGCGTCCCTTCACGTATATCTTTGCTATGCGAGTAGTCCCGCGGTTCATAGCGTCAAATAAAACATAAATAGAGACAAATATACAGTAAATTAAATTTACATATGGATTTGTAAACGTTACAAACAAGGAGATATATAAAAGCAAACGGTTGGTCGTCATACCTTATCGTATCCCATTGGTCTACACCATCAAGTTCTACGTCGTCTACTGTCCCGCCTGCCAGACGAACAAATGTCGGAAACCAGTCGGAAGTATGAATCATCTCGTGATTCACGGTCCTCGATTTTTTCAAGAGTGGACTGTTTACAAACGCTAACACTCGGACGCCACCTTCCCACATTGTCCCCTTGCCGCCGCGCAGCGGCCAATTTCTACCGCCAGTGTGGAACTGGGCTCCATTGTCTGAAGCAGAAAACGGGTAAAATTAAATTGTGTTGAAAATCGTTGACGAAAACCTCACAACTTATGCGGTAACGTCCCAATGAAAACAAAAATTCTCCTCTCCAGGTAGCATAAAAATCTCGATTAATTAGATTTAAAGCGGGGGAGTCGTCACCTGCACATGCGTCAGATGGCCATAACGTGTCATTGTTTACATTGTATTTTTAGCGTGTGTCGTCGCTTCGAACTCAATTCCCGCGCGTGCGCAAGTGACGACCCTCCGGCTTTAACATATGTACGTTACATACTTGTATATGCAATTACGTCATACGAATTGTATTTTGTAAATAATTCGATTTATTTACCTGACGAAAACACCAATATCGTGTTATTCAACATTCCCGAAGCCTTTAATGTCTCAGTAATATTACCAATCCCTTCGTCCATACACGTTGCCATGGCAGCGTATATTTGACGACTCTCATCCACACCGGAAGTGTAATATGGCATTCTGTAGTTACTTGGCACTTCCAGCGGTCCGTGTACAGCTTGGTACGACAGGTACATAAAAAATGGCTGTATTGGGAATAAAATTATAATGTGTTAATTTGTAGGTTTATTTTTATTAACTCATAACTACCTACTGGGGGAGGTTAAAGGTTACAAAAGAAATTTACAAATAAAAATTAATCAAATTACAATGGCTAATAGTTTAAAGAACAACCAAAAACAGACTAAATTTAAGTTAGTAACGGAAGTATATGATAAAATAAAATAAAATGTAACACCCACAAAAAACTAATAATAATAATATTAGTTTCGATCGCTGTAAGTTAATTTTTTGCACACAAAAAAAAGGTTCCGGCGGATCTGAGGAAATTTTCAAAGACCTGAGGCGAGGCGTTGAGCTAAAGTTCAGAGAAAAATACAGGAAAAAAATCAATTCAACAAATTTTCGAAATAAATAAATTAATTTTGTAATCTCGATTTTGCTAAGACGTCTGCGCTGCGCACTGAGTTAGGACATTTGCGCGCGACAATTGAAGCGCGATGCGTGAAAATCACCTTATATACAACAAAGGTCATCTATCTATTTTACACGTAATGGGATGGTCGTTATAAACTGACAGTAATGAGACGAGAAATGCATTATTAAAAATAAAAACTGGAAAAAGAACGATAGTTATTGTAACACCTATTGCTGATTTATGTTTGTCCCGGCTCCTTGTTTCTTGTGCTCTTCAATTATACCATTCCAAATGTGTCTCTTCTTGTATAGATGCATGTTCGTGGGCACTCGGAGTGAATTTTTTTTTTTTTTTGCTTTTTTTACCCAGACAGTCTTGGCTAGATAGTGTTGAAATTTCGGAGCATTGTCAATGCAGGAACATGCCCAAAAATGGATTTTAAATTATAGGGAATCGAGGCACGCGTATGTGATTAAAAGTTCCGAAAGTTTGTTTACGTTGCTCTTTGATTGACAAGTCACTGTTGATGTTATATGCAAACGAGTTGCTGGCCTCAGTTACGGTGCGGCGATGTGTAGCTTCCTGTCCGCGGCCCTGTTTAACTTACCTCAAGCGCTACTAACTAGTCTTGCAAACTACAAAAAAAAAAGACAAGACGTAGACGCTTCCAGCATGCAAGCGGAATACAAAAACATACAGTTGTAAATGATAAGTAAACTTTTTCACCCTTATCTCGCAACATGTCGACAACTTCTAGCCTGGCAGCTTCCAGTGGAGTACTGTTCAATATTTTTTTTTTCACGCATTTTTTTCTTCGAAGGCATTATAAAACTGACTAATTATACATTTGTCGTTTCGCTGTAATGATCACCGTGCTGATAGCATTGCGATGTAGTAGTGGATAAACACCATTCAGACCATTGCTGTGCTGTCATCGATAACTAACTTTTCAGTGGCAAAATACACAAACGTGAAATGCTCGGTTACTTAAAAATAAAAAAAAAATTACCCCGAAAATTACAGAAACAACGGCAACGAGATGCTGTTTTTAAACACCGCGGAAAAATCACGCACTCTGCGATGCTATTTTGGTTACCTTAATCGGAAACCCCCTTGTCAGCTAGCATGCATCTGTAGCGATGTCGCAAAGTACGTTGTACGGTCGTGCTCGGCGACCTCTGGTACTATAGCACTCTATGAATGAGGTTTTCCAGAGGTCAGGGTTCGTTTTAATTTTTATCGACCCATCGCGTCTGCTCGTAGTTGAATGAAACCTGTTTCGATTTACAATAGTTGTCTTCCATTTCGACTTTTTCTCACCGGTGTTTGAGCGATTGAGTACAAAAACTGTGAATAGCCGTTGTGTAGCAAAATATTACGGCCCATTTCAACCTGGCCGGAGATCGTGAAAAACTGCGTCATACAGAGTATTTTTTAAAGGTATGAGGAAAGGTAAATTTAGACTCAACCCACCCATTGGGGATCGCTATGTTTGTGTAACTGTATGAATATCGCATCGGCTTTACGTAATCCATTGTGCCCCTCCCTAAGTGGAAAAGATAACACGACGCCATGACAGTTTTCACGCAAGGTTTTGACTGTGCGGACGATTTTACGTCCGTTTCTCTATTATTGTAAATATTTTTATTTTATTTTTTTATCTGACGATTGAACATCAGCAAGCGTCGGTGTATGATGGATTTTGGCATGTCGTCGTGATGCAATAGCCATTTTTGTGGACGATTAACGTCACTTTCGTAAAACTGCCATTATCTCCGTTCCTGTTTTCTGGTTAGTCAGAGAGATTGAAAATTAATTAGCTCCCACAGTTTTTGTCAGTTTGTCTTGACATTTTCACACTATTTTGACAACGTCTCTACGAACAAAAGGACGTCTGGGCTTGTTTTTAAATCTTTGCATTCTCGGACAATGACATTCGAAGTGTGAAATACTGACCGGGATTGACAATACGGCACACATCCTGGTTGACAACTTTGTAATATGAAAACAAAACATGCTATATGTACGCCTGGACGCCCATTTGTTAATAAACAACTGATAAACGTTGTGTGAAAGTTTCACTCAAAATAAACAAGAATTGTGCGAGCTATTTAGATTTGAACTTCCATGGTAAACTGAAAAACACAAGTGGAGATAATGGCTAATTTGCATAACCATTCACTCAGTAAGAAGTTTGCTAATGCTCATAATTAAAATGGCTGTAACAGTTCCAAATTTAAACCTATTATCGTTTTGTAAAAAGTTAAATATAGTGCATAATATGGAGATCCCGTCATTACTTTTTTTCACCATGTTTCTTTTTGATTATTTATGTACAGCCTTGCTAAATCTTGCTAAGCATTCAAAAGAGAGAATGTTTGTACCAGTTTTCTATATTTTAAAATCGTCTTTTGAGTATGTTCCACTATTCATAATGCTGTGAAATTTTAACAGTCTATAGCCAAGACTGTTTGGATGATAAAAAGCAAAAAAAAAGAAAATTCATTCTCAAGTGCCCACGAACCTGCATCTATACCTTAACCAAATGTCATAAGAATGATTGCGTCATCATTAGCCTTGTCATTAACATTATCAACTTCACCTCTTTATTGCTGCTGGTGGTCACGAAACGAAAGCTCACAATCTCGCAAACATGAAGCCGACCTTACGCATAACGTGACGTCGACGGATCACGCGTAGTTTTCATGAAATGACGTAACACGCAAATGCGCATGCGTGCGAGATTTACGTACAGGAACTATTGTTGCATTCGCAGTTAGTTTTCAGTGTTACATCGAGCAGATCGCACAATCAACGTAAATGCAAGTGCGAAACATAATAATTGATTGCATTGACTTACTTTCTTTTTATCATGATTTTTGATGATATCTTGAGCTTCTTTTGTGTAAAAAAGTGTCGAGTACTGGCCATCGTAATCTTCGGCTACGTTTTCCATATTCCTCCACAAATCATGACATCTGGGGCGTCCTAGTGCAGTATGAGTATAGTAATTTTCTGCGGCGCCATGGTAACCTAGATTAAAATACATCAGTAATTTGAAAAACACCAAAATTTAATCTGTAAATCCTCGATTTAGTAAAAAAAATGCACTGCCTGCGTTTATTCTTGTTTAATTTTGACTAAACTATGTAATGAGTCTTTCTTGGCACTAACTAAGTATTTGAACAGCCGACTCCTATCTTTTTTCACAAATTATAACGCACGTTATTTTTTTCCAAAATGTTGATCACCAAAACTATGTGTATTTTACTCGAAATAATTAAGAGAATTATATATAAAAAAAACAATAAAAATAAATTCAGTCAAAATATTACACCAACATTTTGGCTGAAAAAAGTTATATTCTTCTAAAAAAATCACCAGAAATGAGCAAAACGATAGAAGGTTAGCGACCTTGTTTTAAGTCATGAAAATTGAACATTTATAATCCTTATAGTGATAAACCAACATATCGGCCATTTTGAATAACAGTTGGTGCAATCTAGAAATTGTGTCTAGTATATTGCATGTTTGTGACCCGAATATTTTGACACTCTCAAAAAACAAAAAACAAAAAAAAAAACTACGAAATCAAGCATAATCGTCTAACCTATATATACATTACATACAGTATAAATATACATTTATATTATTACAATCTCATGCATGTTCACGGTGTCATTCTTCAACATCGGCAAACAACAACTGATTGCCAAATAACTTGAAATGATAGTCATGGTGTTAAATTAAGGATTAGAATTTGCATAAAGTTGATAGTTGTAAATCTACATCGTAAAAAAACAAATAAATAGTAATAGAAGTCTTTCACGCTGTGTAACCAAGGATTAAAATTTACATAAAGTCAAGTGATGTAAATGTATGTAATCTAAACACCAAATAAACTGTTGATAACGAGTTTTGGTTTACATAGGGACATATATTTACATAGGGATAAGAGTTGAGGGAGGGGTATAAAGGAACAAAACAAAATATTTTATCTTTTTTTTTTTTATTATTTCTTATGAAAATTTTACTTGCTCGTCTAACGAGTTTATATTTTAAGTCAAAAGTCACATTTAATTTCTCAAAAAACAAGTTGTGTCAGAATTGTTGAAAATTGATAACAGCAGATTGTACAGCCACGACTATTAATTCACCAGATGTCGCCCTGCAGTTTAATTTTACATATAGCGAAATAGCGTTGCCATGGTGATCAACGTTTAAAATGCGACATAAAATATAAATCAACCCCACTAAAATTACGGAATAAAATGTATTAGTACCCGTGAAAATAGTAAAAAGACAAAACTATGTCATCTCGAACTTACCAAAAAATGTATCGAATCCTTTATGTGTTGGTACACACTCTTTTCTTTCGTGTCCCAGATGCCATTTTCCGATCATGTGTGTTGCGTATCCGTACTGCCGCAGTTTCATCGGCAGAGTGACCGTGTCCGGAGCCATGCATAGTCTGGTCAGCTGACCGTCTAAACAACGGTAGTCAAATCCAGTATGAATCTGTAGGGTAAACAGATGGGGGGTCAATGACCTGGCAACGAAACTGAGGGAATTACAAATATGATAGAATGTTCCCTTCTGTTTAAATTCAAAGAAGTACAATATACACCACAATCGATCGGTACGTTTTTTTTTTTTTGGGGGGGGGGGGTCATATAAAATGTTACACTCACGATCTTGTGTCGGTTTACACGATTCAGCCCAAATAGTTAGTAAATCTGCTCCAAGCGTGCACATTTGCTTTCAGAAATACCTCGAATTGAACAGTTTTCGAGAAAAAAGTTTAGAATGCCAGACGGGACTCGGACTATAAACTCACCAACAGAGCGCCATTGGGACACTCAGTACTTTGTCGTGTGTTTTGATTTCTACTTGTACTTATAGACTGGTGAGGCCACCCTGTAAATCCAACTGTTTTAAAATATGACACATTTTTGTACATCACATCACTTGTGCATAAGTGTTTTATAATTAAACATAGCAAAATTCTTTTACTGTTTAAAAGCTTGTCTCTAATTTAAAAACATTTAGGTGTTTACTAGTATAATCTGTATACTTATGAAAAGTGTGTGTGATGGAAACTCTCTTTGTATGCAACATTTCGGAAAAGTGCTTATGTTAACAACACTGTTAAACGTGTTTATGCTGGAAAAAGTTTTTTAAAAGTGTTTCCACCAGTAACATGTATTGAAAAGTGTTTATCTTCGCAACACTTTAAAAAGTGCTTTCACGCAAAACACAATATGAATAGCGAAAACTGATTGTAACAGAGACACAGTTTAAAATGTCTTCATGAGCAAAATATATAACAAATGATGCGTTTCACTTTGCACACTAATCAGAAAATACAATAAACAAATCACACAATCAAGTAAATATTTATTACTAAATATAAACATTAATAAGACAAGTTTGTGTATAACGTTTAGAAAAAGACAGACATATATAATTTTTGTAAAGAATAATAACAATCGCATGGTTTTTTTTACTGAAATTCAAACCTTTCGTGAAACTGTAGGAATGTCTCCGAGATATGTCAGCAATGAATTTATGCAGTATGTGCACAAACTTGAATCAATTACACATAAACCTGAATCAATTACGCATAAACCTGAATCAATTACACATAAACCTGAATCAATTACACATAAACCTGAATCAATTACACATAAACCCGAATCAATTACACATAAACCTGAATCAATTACACATAAACCTGAATCAATTACACACAAACCTGAATCAATTACACATAAACCTGAATCAATTACACATGAACTTGATTCAATTACACATGAACTTGAATCAATTACACATAAACTTGAATCAATTGTACATAAACCTGAATCAATTATACATAAACCTGAATCAATTACACATAAACCTGAATCAATTACACATACACTTGAATCAATTACACATAAACCTGAATCAATTACACATAAACCTGAATCAATTACATATAAACCTGAATCAATTACACACAAACCTGAATCAATTACACATAAACCTGAATCAATTACACATGAACTTGAATCAATTACACATGAACTTGAATCAATTACACATGAACTTGAATCAATTACACATAAACCTGAATCAATTACACATAAACCTGAATCAATTACACACAAACCTGAATCAATTACACATAAACCTGAATCAATTACACACAAACCTGAATCAATTACACATAAACCTGAATCAATTACACATAAACCTGAATCAATTACACATAAACCTGAATCAATCACACATAAACCTGAATCAATTACACATAAACCTGAATCAATTACACATAAACCTGAACCAATTACACATAAACCTGAATCAATTACACATAAACCTGAATCAATTACACATAAACCTGAATCAATTACACATAAACCTGAATCAATTACACATGAACTTGAATCAATTACACATAAACTTGAATCAATTGTACATAAACCTGAATCAATTACACATAAACCTGAATCAATTACACATAAACCTGAATCAATTACACATGAACCTGAATCAATTACACATAAACCTGAATCAATTACATATAAACCTGAATCAATTACACATGAACTTGAATCAATTACACATGAACTTGAATCAATTACACATGAACTTGAATCAATTACACATAAACTTGAATCAATTGTACATAAACCTGAATCAATTACACACAAACTTGAATCAATTACACATAAGCCTGAATCAATTACACATAAACCTGAATCAATTACACATAAACCTGAATCAATTACACATACACTTGAATCAATTACACATAAACCTGAATCAATTACACATACACTTGAATCAATTACACATAAACCTGAATCAATTACACATATACTTGAATCAATTACACACAAGCCTGAATCAATTACACATAAACCTGAATCAATTACACATATACTTGAATCAATTACACATAAGCCTGAATCAATCACACATAAACCTGAATCAATTACACATACACTTGAATCAATTACATATAAACCTGAATCAATTACACATACACTTGAATCAATTACACATAAGCCTGAATCAATTACACATAAACCTGAATCAATTACACATAAACCTGAATCAATTACACACAAACCTGAATCAATTACACATAAACCTGAATCAACCTGAATCAATTACACATGAACTTGAATCAATTACACATGAACTTGAATCAATTACACATAAACTTGAATCAATTACACATGAACTTGAATCAATTACACATGAACTTGAATCAATCACACATGAACTTGAATCAATTACACATAAACTTGAATCAATTGTACATAAACCTGAATCAATTACACACAAACTTGAATCAATGACACATACACTTGAATCAATTACACATAAACCTGAATCAATTACACATACACTTGAATCAATTACACATAAACCTCAATCAATTACACATATACTTGAATCAATCACACACAAGCCTGAATCAATTACACATAAACCTGAATCAATTACACATATACTTGAATCAATTACACATAAGCCTGAATCAATCACACATAAACCTGAATCAATTACACATACACTTGAATCAATTACATATAAACCTGAATCAATTACACATACACTTGAATCAATTACACATAAACCTGAATCAATTACACATGCACTTGAATCAATTACACATAAACCTGAATCAATTACACATACACTTGAATCAATTACACATAAACCTGAATCAATTACACATATACTTGAATCAATCACACATAAGCCTTGAATCAATTACACATAAACCTGAATCAATTACACATACACTTGAATCAATTACACATAAACCTGAATCAATTACACATATACTTGAATCAATTACACATAAGCCTGAATCAATTACACATAAACCTGAATCAATTACACATATACTTGAATCAATTACATATAAACCTGAATCAATTACATATAAACCTGAATCAATTACACATAAACCTGAATCAATTACACATACACTTGAATCAATTACACATAAACTTGAATCAATTATACATAAACTTATGCATAAAATTATGCGTTCGCCCCAAGTTAATAGTTACTGAAACTATGACAGCTATATGATATGCACACACGCAACAAGCTGTTTATTATTAAAAATACTAAAATCAATAAATTTATGGCTACATGCACTGTATGTCTACTGACACTAATGACGTGTGTGGGAATTTTTTTAATAAATATGCTGCATACATTCAATATTAAACATTGCGGCTTTTATAGAAGCTCACCATACAACAGTGTTCTGTGCATACACACTTATGCATCATATATAGTCGACGGGTGTTTTAGGTTGAAACAATGCATGTGTGTTTGTTTTTGTGTTTCAAAATAAAACAGTTTTAGTAAGACTTGGGAACTTGTGTACATGTCGTACGTGTTTACTTATGAAACACGTATAATCGGGTGTTTCGGGTAGAAATATTGCATGTGTGCTTGTTGTAGGAAGAGAACAGTTTTCGAGATAAATGTTTAAAGTGGTTTTAAATCACATGTGAGAATGCTCAGATTGATTGGAACTACCACGACCGTTCACTAAATGTTGAGTATTAAAATCCACCAGGCCACGAGGTACTTCGCCACGATGCTCTTGATTTCCAGTTGTACTTATAAATTGACAAGGCCATGTAAAAATATATAAATTAATTCTTCCACACCTGGTGCTTCGGATGATAATGATATATTGCTAAAAGACGAAGTATTTTAATTAAATGAAGTACTTTCTGAAGGTAATGTCATGACCATTTCATTGTGCATTGAATTACATTATTTTTGGTGGTCGTCTAGTTAGGTTAATGGCATATATACCATAATGTTTACTTCAAGTCTCCAGTTCAAGTCCCTGGCAATAGTTTAATTTCTCGTCACTCATTTTTGTTAGTATTGCTTGCATAAAGCTCGTTGCATTAATCCATTAATGTCCTAATCAACAAACATTTTAATGTCACATTTATGTCCCTGTAAAACACTCAATAAGATAAGTTTGTGTATAAAGTTAAAAAAACAGACATATATAGTTGTTTGTGCATTTAAAATGTGTTGATTTTTCCATCAAAATCTGACAGGTGTTTAATAATACAATACACATGTTTTTAATTTCAACAGTGTGCTCTCAATTAAAACTGATTAATTAAAAATCTAAAAGTGCTCCCAAGATTTAGTGTCAGTGTTCAAATGATACTATTACCAACACATACGAAACTGGTTTCTTTTAATATTCGTCATGTAATTATGATATTCTGAACTAAATACTCTAGATAATTAATACCGAAGATTTAATTTATTTTCAAATTGACACATTGCATATTTTAGTATAATATCAACCATATTCCGCGACAGAGAACTGAGTAAAGGTGAAACGAACAACTACATGTAATTACAAAAATCCCATTTTCTTTTCTCTATATGTAGTTATTGTTACCATGAAAACAATAAACACAAGAGATAAATTACAGATGTGTTTAAATTTTATTAACAAATCTATAAAATGAAAACATCGAATGAAAAAATATCGTAATTCTTACAAATTAATTTTACTGACAAAGCGTATCACGTTACGTTGGTGCATAACATCATATATATGTTTCTTATTTCTTAAAGAAATATTTCATATGCTTATAAGCTACATGAAAAGAACACATTTATTTTATGATGAGTATTAATTTCAGAAAAGTTATTGCGATTGTAATCTCCCCTTGATACCAAACACGTGAATGTACCAACTTTACCGACAATTATGCATTCTACAAAATACAAATAATTTCCCCATTTGCATCGGAATTTGCATTACCCTGTTACTATGGCAGCACATCACAGTTAGAAGCTCTTGAATTGAAAGTGACAAGCTTACAAATGATGTATGAGTTGGGTGTATTAGGCGTACTGTCATTAAGTTGGTTGAATAAATGGGCCCTGACTACTTTGCTGGTAGATTAACTGTTTTATTACACGTTCTCACACACGACGAACATGTTGTAAAGTAGGTGGGAATACGTGACAACGTACCCATTATCCCGGAAACTGTCGCGTGATATAATGTCAGGCTTATATTTTCGCTCAGACCACTAACAGAACTGTCTGGCAACGTCAACTAATCAACAGTTCCATGTATGTCGCAACTCGGTAAAATCAAGCTGTCAGCAGCTGTACTTGTCACTAAAATCTGCATTTTCAACTGCTGCGAAACGAGGGAAATAAAAAACCCACAGCTCATTTGGCCACTTATTTTAAACGTAGTGGTATTTCGAGCAAACTGACAAAAAAAGTAAGTATCCGCATACAAGTTTTCGCCTGAAATTAAACTCATTTGAATAGATTGAGTGCGATCCGTTACGCATGCGTGTCAGCATGACCACCGTCAATATATGTTCCTTGACGGCAATGTGCATTTGGCCACATCTCATTATATCTCTGAGACCGAAGATTGTCGAAGAATACGAATACTTCATATACGGACATTGTCAAACACGAAATTGGAAAACATCAAATCTGATGGAATTGAAACCTTTAAAACCTTGATGTTTAAAAAGATGATATAAATTCAGGATTCTTTTGGAAAGTTGTCAATTTCCGTATACGTAAAATGTTATTGAAAACAAAGCAGAGTCATCGTAAGTGAATTCCTGAAAAGTAGGGCCGTTTCAAAAGCATCGCCCATAAACGTTATATACAAGGGAAAAGACGCAAGACAGACAAACTGACAGACAGACAGTGTGATGTTTTGAAGAATGAATTATAAACATAATACAGTGAAAGCGAACAGTGAAAAGGGTAAATAACTTCTTGAAACATCGAAGAAGTCGATGAAAATTAAACATAACAGGAACACTGAAAAAAGATAAACTCTCTAACATATGAGTATGGTCAAATTAACCAAAAGAATCAAGCAGATGAACATCAACATAATTAAACAGGAAAAAAAATATCATAACCATAATGTAAACATACCAATTGTCATATTTAAAGTTATTCATACGACAACTAAATTAAAACAAATAAGAAAACCGCTGGTTTATTCTTAAAGTGTGCGAAGTAAGCACTTCAAAAATATATACTGGACATTGGCACCTACACTCATTTAAGGAACATCAGTGACATAAGTCTGATACATCCAAACAACTGCCAGGACACATTATTGGAGATGTAATTAGTAATATTAATTTTGATGTAAAACTAGATGATGTAACACTCCCGCCGACGTGGCTGTCCACTAAGCCCGATGTTATTTACTCGTAATATGTTCATGAATGTCGTCATTGAGAGATTTAACCAAATAAAATGTCATTGTGAACAGGCAATGAATTGCATCCATATCCACACAGTGGATTGTAGTTTTTTTGTTTTTTGTTTTTAAATATTTTTGTGCCAGGCGACAGTTCTGGACATTAAATGTCACTGTTGTCTCTCCTGACCTTTTTTGTATGTGCAAGTTGCAAGTGCTTACAAATTATAATAGTGCATTTGCCACAGAAGCCATATTCATGTTTTGGGACTACACACATGACAGGGCTGTGCGGCCATCTCTCTATCAAATGGCAATTTAATGCGCTATCCTTGCGTCAACCAGGCTCTATCGAACACAAGCACCTGTGGACCTTAACAAAGGTTCCCCCAAAGTCGCATTCGTTAGTGAATGAATCTTGGCCAGTGGAATTGGCCTTCCCATTGAGTCTGTGGCACACTTACCCAGGGTAGGGGTTGGCCCTTTGATGTTCAGCCTAGGATTTGAGTAGGATTTGAACTTGGGTCTACCGATCATGAGTCTGGAGCGACAACCACTATGCTACCAGTGACCGGTTTGGATTGTAGTTTGAAAGTAAATACACAGGAGTGATTTTTAGAAAAAAAACTAATGCAGAGCAGACTTCAAATTCAATAAAAAAAATACAACAAACAATACAATCACGACAAACAGACCAAGCCCAATCATATACAGGCTTAAAATCAAATTCAAACTTTTGAAAACAACCCGGATTCCAATATTGAATCATGCAAATGAAATCTGGTTTGAAATTATCCAACTTCGTCGCATGAATCAGGACGGCAAATATTTCAAAAATACAAAAAACCAAGCAAAATAGCTTGCCGGATGAAATAAAATACTACCGCCCATCAAATGCAATACAAGTCTGACAATAGCCGTTACTCATACCCTGGTTAATGGATAAATGGCTACATTCGAAATTCCATCACTATCGAAACCAACCAATGATTATTACAGCACAATTTTCAAAAAAATACGCATATACGGTATTTCCAAAACCATAATTAATAACAGAGTACACCAAATCAATACCCCAATTTAGAACAAACCACCACAAACTAGCAATATAAACAAGTCGCTATACACAAAACACAAATTGAACAGAGACAATGTACACACTGCAATGAAATAGAAGATGATATGCAAATTATACACTGAGCATTGAAATACAATGAATAGTATGGTACAACAAATCAACCCAGACTCGTAAATCACAGATTATGTAAATTATTAAATCCCCGGATTAAAAGATGGAATACGAAAATATTATTAGCATTTTAGTCAAATGTTGCGAGCAACTTACAATGCAAACTTTAATAAGCCATTGTATGATGCATTTTCATTTTAATTGCGTTTGATCGGTTGATTGATTGATTGCTTTATTTAACTGACCCCAAAAAATGGAACAATTTCGCTACGGTTTCAATAACGCACTATAATTTTATTCCAGACTGTTGTAATTGCATACAGGTGTATGTTTATTTAAGCTTAATTCCTACAAACAGATGCGGCACGCATACGTCCAATGAACCTGCCACGCCATTAGTTTATTTGATTGAAGTTTTAGATGTTTGAAGTAGTGTGCGAAACGTAAGACTATGCTATATTGAGGTGTTTCATTTTTTTTTGTAATTGTCTCCTACAAGGTCACATTGATTTTCTTATGGCGGTAAAATCACGTCGTGTAACTTGGGTCTGATCACATTGATGGACCCTGATTTATGCCTGAGACCAGTGGATAAGTGCGCCAACATAAATATACATGTGAGCTGCTGTGTCAATTTCAGTAATTTTAGATTATAAGATAAGATAAGATAAGATAAGATAAGATAAGATAAGATAAGATAAGATAAGATAAGATAAGATAAGATAAGATAAGATAAGATAAATTTTATTTGGTACGGGAACATATAAAATGCCATGACCAAGAACAAGAGAGAAAAAATTACATAACTACTAAACTAAAATAAACTAAACTAAAAAAACTCTAAAATACTAAAAACAAATTTTGCTAAGCCTGAATAGATAAATTTATCGGTACTTGAAAACATTTCTACAAATAAATTGTCATCCCCTATGATTTCAAGATTTGGTGCATACATAAATATAAGACGACCGGAACACGCCCACCCACCATCCGCTGTTCGCAAGTACTAGTATATCAGTGATATGAGCAAATTGTGATTCCTAGTGCACACCACGAGTCTTCCTGGAAACGTCTACATTTTTTTTATAATTACACGCATAGACGCAACCTGATTAAAATCCCATGTAGTTATATGCTCCCTTATAACTACGTATAGTTACGATGACCGAGATACGATATAAAAAAATATTCATAAACAAACAAAAATAACAATAAAAATGGACCTTATACCAACACCGAATTTTAATAAGATTGACACAAACGGTGTGGGGGTGTTTGTACATTAAATTATTAAATTGTATTCGCATTTTTTCTCTGCCAAAATAATCTAGAATAGAATAGAATAGAATAGAATAGAATAGAATAGAATAGAATAGAATAGAATAGAATAGAATTAGAATTAGAATAGAATAGAATAGAGAATAGAATACTATTATCACCGTACGGAAAATTTGACATTCCTTTTATGGCACTTACATGTCAGCAGACAATGGCATTACATTACAACACACCACACCATTCAAATATAGTATTTCTGAATTGCCGTCTCGCTCTGGTACAACTAACATACGTCTGTAACACTGAATTCCCTAGTTCAATTTAACAGAAATTTAGGCAAAATTCATTCATTCATTAAGTTCTATCCATTGGTCTACTATACACATATACTGTAGCGAGTTGGATTGATTATATTTTCTGACTTACTTGATATCGACCCATCATAAGGCAACTCCTTGACGGCATACATGATGACTGTGCATAGTATCGTTCCAGTTTCACGCCTTCCGCGGCTAATTTATCTATATTCGGCGTTTTCACAATGGAACCTTCTCGATATCCCACGTCAAAATATCCTAAATCATCGGCTAATATAAATATAATGTTGGGCTGCTCCGTCACGCCGTGTGCCCATTGTAGTGCGAATGAGAATATAGCCAGGAGGACGGCAATCATATCATTCATGGCTTACAGTTGTAGGTACCCTCTCGATCTGAACAACACAATCGCTAGAAACTGCAGTGTCAACTAAACATGGTGCAGTATCACAATGGAACGACAGTGTGTCATAATGAATTGACCTGTTAAATTGGGATTATAGAGCGAGTGACACGTGGTGAGGTGACTGTTTTTTTATTTAACTGTTCAAACCTCAACTGGAACACGGAGGCAATTTTTATATATTAAATAAAGAGACAACTGTTTTCCGGTATTTTTTTCGCAGAAATGATTGTTATCGTTCATCATATCGAGAAACAGTGGTACGCATCCCTTCTGTTAAATTAAACATAGTCGATTCATGTTTGTCATATTACCCATAGGGAATAAAACACCGCCACACGACATCAATCTACATAATTCATTTGAAATTGGTCTGAGGCTAAGAAATAACACTCCAGGTTGGTCAATAGGTAAAATTAAAATGCTTGATGAGTACTTCAATCTCGATTAATAAACATAAGGAAACGCCCACTGTGTTTAAATCAAATTATCATCAGCCGGCCATGCTTAGCGAACGTAAAATATATCAGTGTATGTAAAGCACGTTTGAGAAATTTTAAATATCGGTTGTTCATGTCATAATGGAAAGGCAGTCTGTCATGATGTAGATATATTATGTCATAGTTTGTTGTAAATAAACAAATTGAATAATGAATGAATACGTACATGCTTGTATTAATTGTCTGAAATCAAAAAAAGTCACCAAAATAGATCACATAGTGGTGGTCATGACTCAGCATATGCAAATGTTGCTGAAAACTTAATAAGTACAGGCATACATACGAACACACGCACGGCCGAGACGCGCGTCTCAGAACGCCTTGTGAGATTAAAGAGCGGCAGTCGTGCTGCGTCCTGTTTGATATGGGACTCATAGCGACGAATACAACGCGTGTAAAATATATTGTTTATTTACATGAAATTCGAACACGCGCTGCGCGACGACCACCGCGCTTTAATGTCTATTTATAGTGAACTTTAGCTGGGACTGTAGTTCTTATTTTGATGGTTATAGACAACACCCGTGTTAGCGTGCGTTGACGACAATGTTTGATATCACAGATCTGAAGCAAGAAAAACAGTTCAAAGATCAATTAAGAATGAAAACCCCAGATGCCTTCCTCATAAAACGTTACAGAAGGAAGATTTTTCTTACACTATTTTTCAACATAGTCCCCTCCATCGATGTTACAGTTTTCCTATTCCCTGCTGGAAGGTTTCATCTTGATCCTTCAGAAAGGGTTCAACAGCTTGGAAGACGTCATCATCAGTCTCAAAACGGTTGCTGCTGCCACTGCCACTTGTGCTGTGTGGACAGGTGCATTGTTCTTGAGCAATGGCACACCAGCTCTAAGATTTCTCCTCCTTTTCTCTTTAAGGTAGCGAGACTATTATTTGTGTTGAAAATTACGATTTTCACATTTATTTATTAATTGATGAAATGCACTATAAACTTTCATGTGATAAAGTCAACATAACATAGAATGTCATGTAAGTTGGTTAAAATGTAGATTTTCTGAAGGGAAGCAAGGCAGCCTCAGTAGTGTTTTCCAAAATCAATAACACAGGTTTAATCTGTGTGCCTATAAGTTTCAAAGATAAACTCAAGACAAAGCAATGTTAGGATGTGTTATCAGTAGCTATCTGACACACAATGAGTGTTTCCAAACATTTGAGTGGTTTGTCTCCGCCCCTGTTTGTTTCACAGATTAGTCATTTGCATATGAATGTG